GAATGGTCATAGCTAAAATGTAGCTGTCATGCACATTTTGATTTTTGCCTCTCAGATCCTACATACCACTGGCCAATCTACACACCTCCTGAAAGCGGGCAGGAGACTTTCCATTATATTTTAGAGGGACATGGTGGCGTAACAGTGATGTTGCTGGATCAGTAATGCAGAGGCCCAGGCTAATGCTCTACAGGCGCAAGTTCAAATCTCACCACAGAGCAAAAACAAGAATTTAAATTCAATTAGTTGGTTCTGGGCCTCTGAATTATGAATCCAGTGAGTTGGAGTACTGTGAACAGGTTTGAGCACTGCACCTTAAGAAGAATACATTAGCCTTGGAAGGAGTAAAATGTAGGTTTACAAGAATGATAGGTTGACTTCAGAAATTAAATAATGAGGAGAAATTAAATAAATTAACCCTGCATCCTTTACAATTTAGAAGGTTAAAGGGTGATCTGATCAAAATCTACAAGGTATGAGCAGGATAAGACAGGGTAGATAAAGATAAACTTTCCACTGGTTGGGGATTCTAGAACCTAAGGGCATAGTCTGAGAATTAGGGCCAGACTGTTTAGGAGAGATGTCAGGAAGCACCTCTACACACAAAGGGTTGAAGAGGTTTAGAACTCTTTTCTACAAATGGCAGTGGATGCTAGATCAGTTGTTAATTTTAAATCTGAGATAGCCAAATTTTTGTTGAGCAAAAATATTAGAGATTTGGGCCAAAGGCAGGAAAATGAAGTTAGGCAACAAGTCAGTCATGATCTCATTGAATGGTGGAACAGATTCGAGGGGCTGCATGGTCTACTCCTGTTCCTATGTTCCTATCATCACACTACCACCATCTGCCTGTGATGTGAAGCAGCAAAGCTCCCAAAATACAGGCACTTTTATGAGGGGACGGGAGAAGTAAATGAATATTAAGGGTCATTTCCACTCCAGGCTCCATCTCCTTTGCAGTCATTCACTTCTCCATCCTGATCTACCTACCTGCTAAACTTGACAGTTCTGAGAATGCACAAATAGATGCCTGCTCAACTTGTTTATGTATGTTAAGGAAGCCTGATTCTTGGCATTGACTGAATGTTGCACTACAGAAACAAATGAGTGGCCCACTGTCCATTCATTCCATGCCTGTAATTAAAATCTTCCCTTTTAATTTTGGATTCGATAGCAACAATTACTTACTCATGAAGTAACAATGTCATTAATACCCGAGATGGTGCCGAAATTTGTGCACCGAAATCCAAATAAAGTTTCTCAATGAGGTTAAGATGGATTTGAAGTCTCTTGACATACAAAACTGGAATAAAATAAACATGCTAAAATTTGAGAAGTTAAGCAACAGTGACTCATTCTTGTGTGTATATTCCATGAAAAACACACTTCATTAATTTGTCAGAATCATGCATTTCTTTTATGAAATATGAAGAATGGTATGCAGTACAACATTGTTACTTCAGGAAATACTTTTCCAACAAAAAAATCAGAATCCATTGTTAAGATTTGAGAGCTGAAGTAATTGAATACTGTGTAACATGAACATGTACAAACCTGAAAGTGTAAACATTTTAATTCTGACCCATAGGGCAAAAAGATGCTCTGTTACTCTGTCTAATGCAAAACATTCAGTATCATGACATGAGAATTGGAATGAGAATTGATACTTATTTCTGAAAAAATCTTGAAGACTGAAAAATTAAGGCATTCAAATTACTGATCTCAACATTCCAAAAGCATAGACTGGTCAAATGAATCTTCTCATCCTATCCCTCTCACCCCATCTCAACTCCAACCACTACACCAATTGCATTTCCAAGAATGAGTGAAAAAAAAACAGGCACAATAAAAATGAAGATTACATACCATTGTTCTTGTTCCAGCCTTGACTCCTGCTAGAACTGAGGGACCTAGAGTCATCATACACACGTTGTAACATTTTCCTCTTTTCCCATGACATTGTCATTTTTTTTAGAGATCAGAAGCTACCCACTAAATATCTGAGATATTGTTGGAAAGAAGGACAGGTTTTCAAAGCTTTCCATATTGGACTCATCAGGACATACATACGAATGCCAAATTTCAAATGATTAATTTAAACCATAAGAGAAAATGTCCTTGTTGGTTGGCAATTCAACTCTGATTGACTGAAGCGTTGCCATAGAGAAGGTAACAGAGCACTACAGACATCTCTAGCTGCCAGGTAATTCAAAAAAAGGCACAAGGCTTGAAAATATTCCTTTTGGTTTCAGAGAAGATGTCCCTATATAAGATCGTATGTGTTTCTTCTGGCAAGAGAGTGACTGAGCCCACGTTATGAGTTTGATTGATGATCTTATAGCCATTGTCCTACTAGATAGATTTGATGTGCTCTATTTGACTATGGTTGTATCTACAAGTTTGCTGATCAGGACATATCATGTATGGAGCTATATGAATCTGAACATTTTTATTCATCGATGAAGGTAAGCTTGTGGATTCAAGTTGTGGAGAAACTATTAGCAATTTACCTTAATCTACCTATGCTTTCAAAACTCAAAACAAGTGCCTAATGACTGATATTAATCTGTGATTGGGTAACAATTGTTGAGAAATCCTGAGTGTGCAAATAGCTACATTAAGGATTAATTTAGGATAATCAGTCAAACTCATAATATGGTTCAATTATGCTTGCTAGAAGATACAGATATTCATATGTAATGGTCCCATTCTCAGCCAGCAAGGGGATAAGTTGGTCACCTTTTTTGAATTACCCAGGACTTGGGGACAGAAGACCAAAACTTTCTGCAACAGATCTTTCTTATCATCAAAATGCAAGCTCTGTATGTATGATCAAATAACGGTAAATATTCAAAACAAAAACAAATTGCTGGAAAAGCTCAGCAGGTCTGGCAGCATCTGTGGAGAGAAATCAAAGTTAACAATTTGGGTCCAATGATCCTTCTTTAGAACTGATGATAGCTCGGAGAAGGTTGACATTTGTACAGAAGATGGGGCAGGGGGGAGGGGTGAGTGTAAATGATAGGTGGAGATAAAGCCCAAAGAGGGAGGAAAACAGTTGCACAGACAGAGGAGTGAGTAAAGGTCAATCTGAAGGAATAAATATCTGCTCATGGGGGCGATTAGGAGCTGACAATGGGTTGTATGTGGTAGCAGCCCATGTGATGACAAGGATTGGGTGTGTGTGGGTTGGGATAAGGGGCCTCAAGCCCTAAAATTATTGAACTCAATATTGAGTCCAGAAGGCTGCAGAGTTCCCAAGTGTAAAATGAGGTGCTCTTCTTCTAACTTGCGCTGAGCTTCGCTGCAGCAGAGCAGCAAGCCTGAGACAGATATTGGCCAGGGAACATGGTAGTGTGTTGAAGTGGCAGGTAACATGAAGATCAGGATATTTTTTGCAGACAGAATGTAGGTGTTCTGCAAAGCGATCAGCCAGTCAGGGCTTCGTTTCCCCAATTGTTGAGGAGACCACATTGTGAGCAGCGAATGCACTGGACTAGATTGTGGGAAGTGCAGGTGAAGTGCTGCTTCACCTGGAAAATGTGTACGGGCCCTTGGATACTGAGGAGGAAGGAAGTAAACAGGCAGGCATTACACCTTCTGCACTCACAGGGGAAGGTGCCATTGGGCTGTGGGAGGCTTTTGGGAGTGAAGGAGGAGTGGACCAGGGTGTCCTGGAGGGAATGGTCCCTGCAGAAGGCTGACATGGGAAGGGAGGGGAATATGTGTCTGGTGGTGGCATACTGCTGGAGGTGGGTGGAATTGGCAATTAATGATCCTATGGATGTGGATGCTGGTGGGTTGGTAGATGAGAACAAGGGGACCCTATTGCTGTTGTGGAAGGGAAGAGAGGGGCCGAGGGGCAAAGTGAGCAACATAAACAAGGGGGCCTCCATCTTCTTCCTCAACTAAGGATTCCCCAGCACCATAGTTGACAAGGCCCTCAGCCAGGTCTGATCCTGCACTTCAATCTAGTCTACTGTATTTGCTTTTCACAATGTGGTCCCCTCTACATTGGTAAATGAAGCCCAGACTAGGTAACCAATTTGCAGAACACTCATGTTATGTCTGCAGAAAAGATCCTGAGCTACCAGTTTCCTGCCGCTTCAACACACCACCTTGTTCCATGGCCAACGTGCCTGCCTCAGGCTTGCTGAAGTGCTCCAGCGAAGCTTAGCACAAGCTGGAAGAACAGCAACTCATTTTACACTTAGGAACCCTGCAGCCTTCTGGACTCAATGTCTAGTTCAATAATTTTAAGGCTTGAGGCCACGTCCTTACCCCAAAGTCCACATACCGGTCCTTGTCATCACACAGGCTACTATCACACACAACCCATTGTCAGCTTCCAACAGCCCCCATTTGCAGCTATTCATTCCTCCAGGCTGACCATTACCCAACCCTTTGCCTATCCAACTGTTTTTCTCTCTCTTTGAGCTTTATCTCCACGTATTATTTACTCTTCACCCCCTCCACCCCTACCCCATCTTCTGTATAAATATCAACTTTCTCCTAGCTACCATCAATTCTGAAGAAGGGTCACCGGACCTGAAATGTTAACTGATTTCTCTCCACAAATGTTCCCAGACCTGTTGGTTTTTACCAGGAATTTCTGTCTTTCTTTCTGATTTCTGGCATCCACGTTCCTTTCAGTTTTTTGTAAATATCCAAAAACTGATATTCACAAATTTACCCAGAATCACCATTTTATGATTACTTAGAATTCAGAATGTGATTGCATTCTTCTCATCCCTATCATCAAAAATTTGAAATTATCCTTAGAATATAAATGACCACCTTTGCTGCTTCAAGCTTCAGTTGCAAGCATTGTTTGATTTAAAGTAACTATTACATTGTGATAACATTTTAAGAGCTTGTTATGTAATGAAAGTCACTTTGAGTCATGTATACTTCTGACCTGACAATGCGACTGATGGTGTTATGCTGCCTTAATTTATCCCAAGATGACTTGTCTGTTACTAGAGCGTATTGCTACCCACCGGCATCTGCCTTTTGTTGTTTCTCAATCTTCTCCAGTCTTCCCAGTAAGAAGTCAATTTTGTTTTTGATTTGGGTCAGTTCCTTCTTGATTGTCTGCAGCTCATCTGATTTCACTGGGGACAGAGAAGCGTACATTCCAAATGCATACAGTTTCATCTTTGGTCAAAATAAAACAACAGTACCTCCAGCTTGTTGCCTCAATTTGAAAGAGCAATTCAGAAAATGTTAGTATTGCTGGATTCTCATGAGATATTCATTTCCTATCTGTGATGTGTGATACAATTCTACATACCACTACATACACCTCCTTTAACTCTTATCTAAAGCAAAGCAGATGTTGGAATGAAAAACGCTTGATTAAAATTTATCTGATGCAAACATGGTGTCCAGCATATTATAGCAAATGAGGCTTTCCAAAATGTTATTTCAGGGCGTCAGTAACTCTTTGCTGATATAAATCTCTGCAACTTATGCAAAATAAACAAGCAAATAGGTTAAAAAGTGAATAATATATAAATAAGCTTCTTCACCATTTCAGAACAAAAATCCTGTTACTCTAAGGGCTGGAAAGAGAAAAATTATGGTATGTTGTAATCTGCTTTTACATAAGTCGTAACTCTCAGTTCTTGGAGGCTGACACTACCAAAATTAATCTAGATTCAACATACTGATGCTGTTTCTTCTCTGCAATTGCTCACTAGTGCAACGGCTCCCTAACACAATTAGAAATCAATTGTATCAAAGGAGAAATAATCTGCTCATAGCATGATATCAATTTATTGCAGAACATACAATAGTACATCAGCTTATAAGCATTAGATTAAGGCTGACATCTGTCCAATTCGACATCTCTCCTCATGTCCAAATCATTTTCAAAATTAATTGTGATACTCCAGCTGGAGGAATGAATTTTGATATCTTATTGTCTGATTTTAATGTGGAGGAATTCATTCTTCCCAAATATAATCACCCAATCAAAATTTACCAACCTAAATGTCATTATATCTTAAATATAAAAATCAGAATACGTACTTTGTATTTCAGATGGTAAGCAAAATAGTGCCTTTTTATTTTACTGTAGTTCATACAAATTCCAAGCTTATTGGTAAGCATTGTCAATAATAATAAAATTTAAAGCAGATAACATCAAAACCTAAAGTCTATCCTGATAATTGTATTTGTCAGATGTCAAGTGCATTTATTAATGACTACAGTATCATTAATCGTACTGTTGTTAGGCAACAAAATTCAAATGGCACCTTTAAGTGAAATCTTGAAAGAATTTGATCAAAACGTTTCTTTCTTTGATATGTTCAAGTAGGTGAAGGACATGTTTGATGCTTATAACGTGTAATTATATTTGTGTTTCAATATGACCTTATAGCTGAAGGACAATAACATGCTTAATGTGCTTCCAATAACATGCTTAATGTGCTTCCATGCCTGTGTGCTGTGCTGAATACAAACAAGATCTGAGCATTTAATTAACTGAGGGAAATGATAAAAGACGTGGAGGTACATCTTCCCTTTTTCATTGGAAGGTTCATTAACATTCCTATTTTTGAGATTTATTGCCGCTAATATCCTTCCACGTGAAACTTGCCAAGTGTGGTGTACTTTGGCAACAATGTTATCACCAGAAATGTGTGACCAATCCTGCCTTACCTCTGATAATGCCAGCTTCAGATTTATCAAGCACTTTAACAGCTGCTCAACTGATACTTGTGATACATGCTGATGCCATCTCAGTCATACGGACCACAGTTCTGGACACTACCATGTTCCTATTGTGCACTGAGAATCATAGAATAGTTACAATGTAGATGGAACCCATTCAGCTCCTTGTATCTGTACCGACTCTCTGTAAGAGCTACTCTGCTGGTCCCTGTCTCTGGCGTCTTTCTTGTAGCCCTGACTTTGTTCCTCCCTTCAGGTGCTTATCTGATTTTCCTTGAAAAGCCATGGTTATATCTGCCTCCACTACACTTTCAGAAAGGACCTTCCAGATCCTACCACTCACTGCATAAAAATGTTTTTCCTGATATGTTCTCTGGTTTTTTTTCTGTCAGCTACCTAAGTTTGGTGTCTTCTGGTTCTTGATCCTTCCCCTAAAGAAAACAATTTCTGCCTATCTACTCTGTCCAGAAACCTCAAGATTTTGATTGACTATGAATCAATTCTCCTTGCAACCTGCTTTTCACTGAACAGAACAGCTTCAGTCACCCATCCATAATGCTACAGTTGAATCTGAACCAGTGTTTCATAAAGGTTTAGCATTATTTCCTCATTCTTGTGCCTTATTCCTCAATATACAAATCCAGGATTCCAGGTGTTTGTGAACAACATTCTCAAACTACCCTGCCACTATAATTTATGAACATATATCCAGAAACTGCTCTGTTCTGGCACTAACTTTAGAATTGGATCCTTTATTTTACATCTTTATGTCTTCTGTTGTTTCTCCTACCAAAATGTATTACATCTCATGTCTTTAGGCTAAAATTCAGCTACCACTTATTCAACCATTCCATCAGTTTTCCCATGCCCATTTGAAGTCTATCACTATACTCTTCATGCTCACAATACTTCCAAGTTTTTGTGTAATCAGTAACTTTTAAAATTGTGCCAAAATCTAGAACCTTATTATAGACGAAGAAAAGCAGCAGTCCTAAAATCAACACCATGAAGAACCCCGATATGGAAAACTTAGATTCATTTCGAAAATAACATCCATTTATCACTACTCTGCTTCTTATCACTCAGGCAACATTGTATCCATGCTGCTGATGACCCAATTATTCTCTGGGCTTTAACGTTACTGACATTTTATTAAACATCCTTTGCAAGTCCATGCACAGCACATCAACTACATTATTCTCATCAAACCTTTCTGATTCCATTAGAATAGCAATTTACCCTTAACAAATCTGCATTGGCTTTTCTTAATTAATCCACATTTGTCTAATTGATTGGTAAATCTGTCCTGGTTTATCATTTCTGAATGCTTCTACAGCAGCAAGATTAAACTTGGAAAGCTTATCCCATGGATGAGGCTCAATATCAATTTGTTTGTCCAGTAATGAAACGGCAAGCAGCTTTCTTGGGTTAGCAGCAATTGATATCACAAGACTAGGTGCCAGCATACCTGCTCTCAGCCCCAGAGACATGGGAAAATGAATCTATTATTGTCCAGTAAAGCTTGTTGAAAAATCAATGACCACATTTGTTAATAGGGGTAAATGTATTAGTACAACCTGTGGCAAGAAGATAACATACAAAAGTTATGTTGCAAATCAATACACCAATGCAGTACAAACTACAATGGTGTTAATTTTTTGGACTATTGAAAATAAGGGTGATGAAACATTGTAAGTATTTCTTAACTTAATAGTCACTCTTAGTTTTTGTAGTAACGTGAGTGGAATGCACAAGAATGGTCTTCACATGGTCCTTAGTAGATAGGAGGACGAACTGTTGGTATATGTGATTTCATATTGTGGGTTCATAGTAGATAAAGGTAGCATGATTACTGTCAAGAATCAAGCAATGACCTGCCTAATGTGCCATACGTCACTGCACATTAGCAGGGAATCCAATGAGTGAAATTCCTCACTGTTGATATAGATCTCAGAGGCTTCCCATTGAGAACACAACAAACCGTGCCCACTGTCCGTCTAGCCTTTCCCCTGTGGGCGCCTCTTAGTGAGCAATAAGAACAAATTCCTTTCAGACTAAATCATGCCTCCCATGTCCCTTACCCAGAAGCATCAAACTGTTTTTTTGTCACTTATCTACCAGTTGGAAAAGAAAGGCAATTGTCATATTTAGATTATAATAGTGCTATTCATGCCTTGGTGCTGGGATCCTTTGGTATGTCTCAGTGAAAGTATCCCGCGTGAGGCAGAGGTGCTAAATTTGAATTCAAAGAAATGGTAATGCTAGGGTCTGACTTTTCACAAAGCAGGAAGACCTCTACTCCGAGCTAAAATGGCACTGATGTCTGAATTCCACAAGATCCTTCTCCCAAACCGGGGGCATATTGTCTTCAATGCGGGGAGGGAGAAATGGGGATGGGATGGATTTCACCCATCTGCAGTTCACAGTTTGATTGTGGGGCTTTGAGTATCAATGTTGTTTTCACAAGGGATTATATACTTGAAAGAATTTTATTTATATGAAGGATTATGCCTTGAAGGAAGTCACATGCTGAAATGGACTTCTCAATGGCAGTGTTTTTATGAAATATAAGGCAGTATCTTATTGGGGTCTGAACAACGTGGACTATGGTGAGATTTGTGGCAGAATAAGACGACAAGTCTAGTGGGGTCAATCTTGACAGTGGATGAACTCTGCTTCATTTTTTAATGCCTTTGACAAGAAGCACAGCACGTTTCTCATGTGTCAAGATGCACGGTGGCCTTTCAAAGGTGACACAGGTTCAAGGGATACTGATCTTTCGGTGGATACCTGCTGAGTTGTGAATGGTTCTTGGAATGGTGTGTGGTAAGATGGGACGGAAATTGGACATGACAGTGATACAGCAAGAAAATTCAATACAACAAACCACGCTAGGCCTCGTGGAAAAACACCCTCCAAAGATTTTGGTGCAATTTGCACTTGGCCAAAAATAGCTTCAGTCCCTATTTTCTTATGTCATCTGACCATGGTTCCTGAAGTCTGCCCATGGTGGATACAAAGTGAGTAAATATGGAGGATGCAAGGGTGCAGGTCATTGGTTGATACAAATTAGTACTGTATTTGCATAAGATTGAAAAAGGCCTGTGAGAATAATTCAAACAACATGGGTTGGCATGAGTTGACACGAAGCTAGCTTATGGAGTATAAATGTCTGTGGGTTGGATAGATGGGCATAGATAACATACATGGTATGAGAGGTGGTGGTGGGGAATGGTTTGAGGCCATAAGGTGGAATGATTTAGTATAAATGTGGTATGGGAAGTCGGGGATGGGAGGTTTGGTGGTCGGGTTTGAGGAGTGAGGGACAGAGGGTTATTTTTCTTTCACTGTTTTTGTTGTAACTGGGATGAAGCCTCAGAATGATGGGGTCAGGTTATTGCCCAGAAGGAGATACTGTGACTAACTAGTGTTCCAG